TCAGAGCGCCATGCGAGCCGCGGAGCGAGTGTGGCATCTCTACCAGGCGGGGTACCAGCCTCTATGCCAGGCCATATGGGCTTGGCACGTCACGGGCAGCAGCTATCACATGAGAGACGGTGATTGGCATGCGTCTGCATTGGGGGAGAGCCGGCTCCCCCGGGACCCGCCGCCATCTGTCACTCTCTACTCCAAAAAAAAAAAAAAAAATTAAATAAATAAAGAAAATAAATAAATATCTCTGCCGCCCTCCCCTCCCCGCCCAACGCAGGGAAAGCAGGGATTGAGAGGGAGGTGGGAGGATTTGCCCCCCTCAAATATCGAGCCCCCCATATGGGAACAATGGGGTGGCAAGTCTGGGAATTGGAGGTTTGTGGTGGCGACCAATTCCAGACTCTCTCCAGGGTCTTGATCTGTCCATTTCCCTGTCTCCTGGTCCCTAAGGGGGGTCAGAACCAGACCCTGGGGTAGGGTGAAGGGAACTCAGTGCTTACTCCCACTCCCCAAGAGGGTCCCCTCCATCACAAAGGGACAGCTGAGGCCTCCTTCCAGGGTGGGTGTGGGGGGCATCCCTGACCCAAGCCCCATAGGTAGATGCTGGCATCATGCCATTCCTCATCCCTGTCTGCCCCTCCCCCACCCACCCTCATGCACACACAACATATGTGGCTGAACGAAATTCAAACCAAGGGAAAGACAGAGAAAGGGAAAGATTTGCCTGCCTGGGTGTCTGTGTCTCTGCATGGGTGTGTGTGTCTGTGGGGACACATGTGTCTATCTGTGGAGTCATCACACAGGAGATGTTTCCTTTCGTGTCAAGGGCATATATACCTTGGGGTCAGGGGGGGAGGAACTTGGAGATGAGCTATGTGTCCCATCTGGGGTTAGCGTGGGCACAGATCTGGATTCCTAACCCGCAAACCTTCCTCTTCCTCTTCTTCTTGTCCTTACAGTCCCTAATCCTTGCCAGGTGGTGGCTTTCTCTTGGCCTTCTGATTTGGTTAGTTGAAGAGAGGATACGGCTGGTTGGGGACAGTCTAGAGATCTTAGATGGGACCCAAACATTCTCCCCCTGCAGAAAATACAAAAACAGAGGCTAACCCAAGCAGTCCCAGGAGAGGACATGGGTGAGCCAGGCAGGTGTCTTGCTAATGCAGATAGGAAATGGGTGCTTTATTTTACTTTACAGTTACCTCTCATCATGTCAGACACAGATGTTAGTGGTGCAGGTTGAAGGTAGGGACTTTGGACACACGTACCCATCCCTGCTCTTCACTCTGTGGTACAGAAAATGGAAACACCCCTATTCAGAGAGACAACCCACCCTTGCTCACTGTAGATTCAAGCAGGTGCTGCTTTCCGGCCCAAATTCCCTGCCTGTCCCATGGTCTGCTTGTGCACACCCAACTTTGGCTCCACTTCCTGGCATACAATGAATGCCACACAGCAAAGAGAGAGGAAGACTCCCCCTCCAAACCCTCCATCCAGGGGGATGACCTCTGGTCTCCTCCAGATTAGCTTTCTCAGGGGGACCTTGGGCTGGTAAGACAGGGATCTGATTGAGAAAGGGGATATGATGCTGCCCAGGGTGTTTGGAGACCAGGAACTGAAAGGTCGGAGGCAATGCGCTTGCTCTTCCTTCCACAGAGGCCTGATTGGGGCGGGGAGTGGGGGGTGTATGTAGCTAGGAACACAACAGGAAGAGCAAACTGAGTCTAGAACCCAGGGCTCCTCCACCAACCCCACAATTGACTGGGTGAACTCCAAGGACAAGAAGCTATGCAATTAGGAAGTTGAAACTCACTTAAGTCAGACAGCCTGGCAAAGTGGGATTGTGGCAGAAGTGAAATGATGGGTCATCCCAGAGGCTTGGCAAAGGACCTCTCCAGTTTGGGGTTACATTCACGATGGGAGCTTCTGATTTTTGGTCAAATCTGCTCATCAACTTTTCATTTTGTTTTGTCTGGAGATGGGGTCTCACTATGTACTCTTGGCTATCCTGGAATTCGCTATGTAGACCAAGCTGGTCCTGAACTCACCTCCACCTCCAGAGTGTTGGGATTAAAGACATGTACCACCACTTTGTAAAAGAAAATGCTGAATTCTAGACTGGGGATTTAGCTCTAGGGTAGAGCACTTGCCTGGAGAACCCAAGGCCCTGGGTTTGAATCCCAGAACAACCAAACTCTTTTCAGATGTCCTTCTCAGTCTTGATTTCCCTATCTATGAAATGGAGGTTGTCATTCTGCCACCTCTGTAGGGCTGTTGCTAACACTAAGTAGGTGATAGGTTAATGAGCCAACATAGGGCCAGTAATAAAACAATCTTCCAATAAATGCCAGCCTTTTTTATTAAGACACTTTGCAAACTATAAATTGCTTTACAATATTAATTTCTTACATATAACCCATCCCCAATTAGAATGCTTTGTCTACAAAGAGTCCCAAGTTTTGTTAAATTAATGGGAGAATGTATGGATGAATGCTTCCTTGGCAGAGAAGCACCAAGAACTGGGTTAGGCCCACTGGGGTCTGATAGGGCCCTCGAGGTGAGGGGCAGACCTTGTTCAAGATAGGGGATACTCTGTAGGTCAGCCTGTCCCTCTCTCCCTCCATCCTCCACCTCTGTTTCCTAGATCTGAAAGGACTCCTCAAGGGGCTCCTAGAGGGAATGGCCTGGGGTAGGGGGTGAGGTGGTCAGGCCTGGGGTACAGAAAACCTCACCCCTCTGGGCCTGTCTCCTGACCCCTTTCCTTCTTCAGAAAAAAAAAAAAATGGAACAAGTTTTTCTCACTCGACACATTTCAACTTTAGTTTTTTTAGAAGATGCAATAAAAACCAGGGGAAACTGGAACAGAGGGAGGTGTAGGATGGGCCTGCCTCAGACATGAGCTCCAAAGAGGTACAACACGTGTGTCCACATACACACAAGCAGGCATTAACACGCTGGGACATGCACGCTCCTCTCTGTACTCAGAGATGCAGTGAGGGAAAGACAGAAAGAGCCAGAAATGGAAGGAAGGAGACGAAAGGAGAAGGACACCCAGAGATGCCATCTGTTCCTCCCCGTGGCATTGGGGGAAGGGAGTTGGTGAGGGGCCTGGTCCCCTCCAGGTCTCTGAGAGGAAAAGGAGAATGGCGGGCGCTTCAGCCAGGCCTGGAAGACTTCCATTTCTGCTGCCCACACCTCAGGGTGGGAGCAGGGAGCTGGGGGGCCTGAGGTTCCCATGGAGACATCGCCCCATCCCAGGGGAGTCCACAGCCTGGGCACCTAAAATGGCTGCCTCAGAGGGGCAGCGGCCATTTTGTTCTGGCTGGGGCCTGAGGGGCAGGGGGTGAGGGTGCTGAGGTAAGCACGGAGGAGGAGAGAGGGCAGAGGGCGGCAGGGAGGAGACAGGTCATTCCTGAGCAGTCTAGGGGAATCCTGCTCAGGGGGCAGGAAGAATCTACTAGAAAACTGCTCTTCCCTACACCCCTTGCTGTCCCCAGATAAATCATTCATAGTGAATCTGGAAATGTCCCCCTCTGTTCTGACCCTCCGAAGGAAGGACAGCTGGCCAGCCGCCCCGCACCCCCAGTAAGACTGGTAGGTAGGTGGCCCGTGTGAGGAAGGCTTGCTGTGCCACCATGGCGGGCCTAGGGAGCAGGTGGGTCAGGCCCACAGGCCCAGAAGTCCACGCCCCGGCTGCAGCCAGACGTGGGTCTCCCGGGGCCTCCCTGGCCGGGTGGACAGGTGAGGAGAGGCTGGTCTCCGGAGGTGTGGGAGGGTGTGGGGGGCAGAGCGGAGACCCTGCGAGTCCTGAGCTCCTGGCAGGCGCTGTGCTGGGGGAGGAGGCAGGAGGCACTGCCCAGGGGCCGCCTACTCCAGCAGTTGGGATGCTCGCACGCTCGCACGCTCGAGCTCCACCCCGAGCCCGAGAGCAC